TAGGGCGGGCTAGAATGTTTGACATATTTGGCACATGGTGACACATAGTATGCACTCAAATGTTTGTTATATACATGACAATGGCAGAAATGGAGAATTAAGACAAATTACTGCTTAAAGGCAGAAAAAAATTCTTTTCTAGAACTAGATTCTATATGGGATTATTTCCTAATTAAAATATCTTCAAAGTGGCTGGGACTAGAGAAAGCATTAGTTTTCCAGGTTTACTTGTTAGAGAGAAAGAGCTGTAAATAGATTAACAAAGTTGTATTACTAGAAGCCATGTGAAAAATTGTTATATACCACATTGCATTGCTATGGAAGCCTCTGTACTTCCCATGTGGCCTGCTATCAAACATTCTAAGTTATAAAGATCAGGGATATAGCAGGAATAAATAAAATATGTAGATATTTTTTAAACTTCATTCTACCTAATTGTTTTATTTGTATATTATTTATAAGATATGCCAAACTGGATCCTTTTATCCTTTGCTTGCCTTCTAGTGGACATGCTAATGTGCAAAGAAATAAAGGTACAGTAACTGGAACAGAAGAGAAATAATAGGTTTCAAAAGAGAGCACAGATCTGTTAAGACTACCACCTTTGAATATGTATCAACCGTTCTTTTTACATATGTAAATGTCTCACCTAAAATGTTATACATGGATCCTGGATAAGAAAATGAAATTCAAAACCAACATATTGAATTAAAATTTTTAAAATGTAACTTACTTTTGTAGTGGGCTCTGGCTTTGAGCCATAAAGAACTCCTTCCTAAAGAAGTAATTAATCTTCTAAGAAAAGAAAAATCAATAGGGATGCTCTTTGAAATCATGAATTCTGCTACGGAGGATGACATACCAAGACTGTTGCTTTCTATACAGGTATCTAGAAGTTTATTAAAAAGAAGGCTATACTGTGAGACCTCCACAGTTTCTGAAATGAAAAAAAGAATTAATATGATGAAATTGATCTATCTTAGTCTCTCAAACTTCCTTTACTCCTCTTTTCTTTTTCCCTTTGCTCCCCTTGGCCCTTTGTTACCCAGTATAGGAGTCACAGTCACTAAAATAAAATCATCTTACATTCTCTAAGTAATAAATAAAAAAGCATTTGACGAAAGCAAAACCATTCATTTTCTTTGTAATGAAGAATATGAGAAGAAGCTTGACAAAGATTTCAGAGGTTGCATTAACACCTCTGTATTTGATCCCCGTATGTGACGGTGCATCTGCAGTGTCCTGAATGATATGAATTGGTTCTGTTTGCATCATATCTACAGTTAAGAATTTAGCCTTATATTTCCCATGACTAAAAATAAATCATCCCCTAATAAATATGTACTCTCAGATTTTAGAAAATCCTTTAATGGTACTTCTATTCCTTCAGTTATTCTTAGAAGAAAGAGAAGTCATCTTGGAGACTTCCAACTCTTTTATTCCCTATATCAGTCTGTTGGGTCTATGACTTAGACTCTAGGTCTTTATCACTTTAGGATCTTTTGGTGGTCCTGGCCTTATCAGGAAATTAATCTCTTTACCTTTACTCTCTTTCTAACACTACCACCAGAGGAACTTTCCTAAAACACCAACTTCATTACATCACTCCTCAGCCCCAAAACAAAGAGAAGAAAACTCCTCCTGCTTGACATCAGGGTCTTCCAAAATCTGGCACAACTATCTGTCCAATCTCCCTATTACTACTTTGTTTCATTAGCAACATGATTGTATATTAAGGGCCTGCCAGATAGCAGCCATTGTGCCACAGATACCAAGATGAAGAACATATCACTACCTTGAAGGAGTTTACTATCTAGGAGAAACAGATAAAAACACTAATTACTATTAGGATCTCAGTGGAATAAATGGAAAAATGAAGATCTATAGAGGATATGATGAGAGCACTGAGGGGGGGCCCTCACATTAATGTCTTCATCATCCTCTGAATCCACCAAACAGCTCATTACTGACCCAAAGCTTTTGCTCACAGACTCACTCTTAATATGGATCCTTTCTTTCTATCCATACATGACTTGAGCTTTAAGTACATACAAGAGTACTAACTACCATTGTCTGCATTGGCATTCTTTCTTTGAACTTATCATCTGCTTCATTTCTTCCATTTATTCCAAGTTTACCTATGTTACAAGGTAATATAAACTAAGTTCTATATTTACTAAGTGATAAGGGAAAAATATTCTTCATTATTCCAATGCAATGAATTCTTTAAGATATAAAGCTTGCTATGGGCATCCAAGCATATTATTTGCTGGTGACTTGACAGAGGCAGGGAAAGAAGGATGATGATAGTGTTTGTATTAGGAACCACTGACAAACAACCCAAAGATAAGTGTCTCTGATTTTTTGAAACCATCATGAAACCCTATTCAATTTGCAGAGAACACATTTTACAGAAAATGACCTCATTAAAAGAAAATGGTTGAATATGAAACTCAACTAAAACAGGTGAATAACTGTTTCTTATTAACAGTTAAACACCAGATGGGCAAGAGATAATTAAGCTAGACTTCTGAAAAACATACCTTGAGAATTTTGAAAACCTGGTAGATTCTGCAAAACTTCAAATGTCTGTCTGTAAAGGCTCTTGGCTAAGGTTTCATGTGCAATTGTACAGAGCAAATTATGTCGGTTAACCACATCCAGTCTATCACAAGGCCACAGTGGTGTACTGATTATCCATTCTGACTCTTCCAAAAAGAAAAACATATGAATACTCTATACCATGAAAATTATATTTAACAATATAATCACAACTAATGTTTTTAAGATTCTTTTTTTTTT